AAAGAGGTTAACCTTGGCGATATTCACTGCCACAAAAATGTGACCTATAAAAAGTGCATGGAAATGCGTCTGTTCTTTTTAAATCAATAGTAGAGAAGCATGTCATGGTTGCGTTTGACGCACGGGTCTTGTTTTTCATGCCAGGTGATATATCAGAAAAGTGAATAGTTCCTCTGTGTCTTATATTACATTGCCTCGAAGAGAAAATATAAACATAAATTCTCCCTCCATAAAACGCAGGGACGCTTCACCACCCCTTGTAATTGCGACTTAATAAGTAGTTTCGAGTTACCAAAAGTAATACAAAATATTTGAGGTCACTAAAATTCTTATTATACATTTGGATATGACTATATACAAAATAAACTTAAACCAAAAATATTCTTGAAGGCTACGAAACCGCTGTTGGAAGCATGCAGCGAAACATGCAGGGATACATGCTGGTAAAGTAACTGATATGGCGCTTTGCGAAACGATTGACGAGTTAAATGAGAAACTTAGATTTTTCGGATCAATCATAACGAAACGACAAGAAGGGAGAGAATTTGCGGGGAGGTAACTCGTATATGACAATAGTTTCGTCGAAGTGTTATGTTCACTGCAGTGAACTATCAAGTGTTATGTTTACTGCAATGAAAATATCCCTTTTCTCAAATTCAGAAAATTCAGTCGTTCACACTGAAATATATAATAAATGTCTTAGTTACATTCGCCGGTGCTAGTATAGAATATAATTGAACGTAACACGAATGTATAAATAAAAAAGCCAATTGCCTTTTTTGGCAGCTTGCATGCCTTACGTAGTACATAGTTATAAGTAACAAAACAGTTTCATATTGACAGGCAACTCTAAATAGTGGATATTGTACATTCTACTCCTGGTGCGCATTTTATGTTACTGAGATGAGTACAAGGTATCCAAGGTAATGGAAAATAATAGTTAGAATAGATTTTAAAATATTTGAGAACTATATATTTTAATATTCAACACGCTTTCCGTTTATGTTGAACCGTCAAAACACATAAACAGAGTTCAAAAAAATATACAAATATGTTATCAGTTTGAACGAAGCAAGCAGCTGTCGATGACTCAAGTCGCGTGTGCACCAGCAGACAATTCTTTGAAGGGAATCTGATTAAACTGCTGTATTTTCACCACTACATCGCGACGAGAGAGGTTTATACCCTACATTGATCCTCGGTCGGCTTCTGTTCCCAAATCCCAGATTCGGGTTCTAATTCTACTTGAGTTTCGCTTGCTAGCGTAAGCAGAAAAGAATTAAGAGAACGGTGAAAACAATATATCTCCTCAATTTGTTACTGCGGTGTGTCAGATCTATCTGAAGTATTTTTGAACTATGATTCATATCTAGATGGCAGATGTACAGAGTACTCAAAATGTTGTATTTGATGTTTTTAAATTTTACTTAACAGGTTAACAATAAATCTGGCCAAATTTCTTTTGTCCATAACTGCGTTGAGTCATTTATATATTTTAAACAGATTTGTCCAGATGACAAATAAATTCGGAATTAAATCGATTCTTTGAAAAAGAACTTCGCATCAAAAGCTATAAGTAAGTAAGTGAAATAGGTTTAACGCCGCTTTTAACAGTATTACAGTTATATCACGCCGTGTCAGCTTAATGTGCCCGAAGTGATGCAGGTCTCAGACGTTTACCACTTCAGTGAAAACCACGAGCACGGGTATGCTGCTGACAAACCTAGAAACATAATAGCGGCGAACCAGGATTCGAACCCACAATCATAGGTTTCTGGCGTGCCCAGCGAATCGCGGCGCCTCAGACGACTGTATGGTTTATGGTGTATGTTGAATAAAACGTCTGTAAATCCCGAAAGTCGAAAATTGTATTTTTCAGGAGCCTATCATCCAGACGAACAGAGTCTATGTTTCTGATGTGGAGACATGAGTCTTGAAGTGGTTGAAAGCTACACTTATATGGGCCTACTGTTATCGGATTATCTGGACTACAACCGGATGGGAACAGTTGTAGAGCTAGTTGAGCTCTAGGAATTCGTATATCCAAAAGCAAAATTCCAGGAGGAATGCAGTGTAGGACCTTCACAAAGCTCTGCTATATTTTGGTGTGGGTAACTATCAATTACGTTGCTGCAATATGGGGAGCATTTCATATACCCGCCGTGAACGCTGTGCACAACCGAGCTATGAGATATTTAATAGGGGGGAAGACGTTTACACCAATTAGTTCAGTTTGTTCCAATATGGAAGAATGTGTCCAAATACAACAAGCGATCATGCAAACAAAACCTAAGTTAGTAGGTTTTAAAGGATTTCAATAGGGAAATTACAAAGGCTAAATCAAACAAGCGCAACTGGAATCTATGTATATCTATGAATCTATATACATTTTATTCTTATTGGACATACTTCTTACAAACGTTTTATCATATCAGAAGTTGGTACCAGAATTAAGCAGAATTTTACACAGGAATGACATGCTACATTGAATGAGGAAAACAGTAGGCGCGGAGACGGTGGAAACAAAATACGACTCATCGTCAGTTTAAAGAGTCCAACGGCGTGGAGCCGTATACTCCGAGTTCCCTACCCTCTGGCGTGCTCTGACGTGTTGTGGCATATTTCGGTGTGGAGACGCTCCACAATGTGTTGAAGATGAATGTCAAGTTATGTTGCACTGTCCACTCTACCATAATCTTACACATATTCTTTTAAAAAAGTGCAATTCAATCTGTGGTAATTTTAGAGCTTTAAGTGAATGAAACTTTCTTTTATTTTGTTCAGCGTTTAAAGGATGTATGTATCGGCCAAAACATGCAAACTCTTATTAGAAAAATGAAACAACTTTTATAATATGTTGCTTAATTTTATGAATATATGTATGTATTTTTATTACGTATTTTATTTCTGGAAATGTGATTGCTGTAAATAAAGTCTTTCATAACCAATCCTTTAATTCATTTTTATATTGCTTTTATTGTACGAGGTGAGACTTTAATAAAAAATCTGACAGTGTGTCGGAAGAAGAAGATATCGTTCGAAGTGTGGGCTTGCTGTTGATAATACTGTCCCGAAGGACTCAAGGTGATACTATTTCTCCAGTTTTGTAGGAATTGGTCTTTTAGTTTTCGTTCAACATATGAGACTAACCAGGGCGGGGTGCACAAAGAACGGTCATAAAATAGCTGTGTAACGCCAACATTATTTAAAATTTGTTTTACATTTTACAAACTGTAACCATGGGTACATATTCGCGTTAACGTCACTGTCTAATTACATAAGGCCATTTTCATAAGTAGGCTTATGCCGGAAAGACATAACCCGTTTACAAACTCTAATATTTAAAGGTTCTCGACCTATTCACCATCGACATGAAGTTTGGTGTTGAATTTCTGAGATCAGATGTACTCTCTTTATGACATCTATATTTTCAAAACCCCATACTTCCTACCCGTTTGGCACAAACACATTGTCAAAACAAGTATACGTCCTACTTCTAAATTAACCTGCTGAAAAGGAGCGTTCCCTAACTGTCAAAAAAAGGGCGAAAATTCATCTTTATCACACGGTTAAATTAACAGTTTGGAAAGACGTGAACAGCTGTCGATGAATTAAGTCAAATGGGCACGTGTTCACCTTTTCGCTAACACCTAGTATCATCAAAGTATTTCATAGTGATTCATAGACAATTGGTTATGATATAGTCGGAATTGTACAGTCGACTCTATGGATATGAAAAGAATTTTGTCGCTTTTATTTTTATTCCGAAGGGAATCGAATTAATCTACTGTATATTCATAACCTCAATCATAGCGAGGAGATGTATAATAATTAGTAAACACATATGACCATGATGAGCCAGACATTAGAAATAGCTGTATTAAAGAAATATGTTCGAATACATGAAAGATACGCAAAATAAGCAAGCACTTCGTACTCATGTCTCGATAAGTAGAGACTCTAAAATTTCCAATCCGAGACAATGTAATGTTTTCGAAAATAATGCTGGAGTAAATAATATAACAAATAGAATATTTATACAGGTGACGTCAGACATAACGTCCGATAACTCATACATACTTTATTTGATTTGAGATGTCATGACGTATCAGGCTATAAGTATAAAAAAACCGAAACCATGCACTCTCGAGGGTGTGTGTGAATGTGTGTGTGTGTGTGTGTGTGTGTGTGTGTGTGTGTGTGTGTGTGTGGAATGAAATTCACTTGTACATTCTTGCCAAATGAATGAATCATAAAGGCGATATATAGGTTTCATAGGGCAACTGTTGATATAACTGAATTACTTTCAGCTGTACAGTTTTCTTTTTCTTTTTAAAAACATCGTACATTTATCCTAAAACTGACATAGAGGGCAGACATAAAGCCGAGGATGACATATGAGATACCGAAAAATTCACTGAAGAGCCTGGCAAATAATATACATGAGATGTTTTAATTTATTTTCTTCCAGATGTGTCAGTCTCACATAATCAAATCCCTAGGATTAAAAAGAAAATTCTGATCGTTATACAAAAAAAGTAACTGTGAACATATATCCAACTCTTGATCTAGCTGCCTGTGAAATTGTCACTTAGAAGAAAGAGACAAACGAATACTTTCCTTTCTAATAAAGTACAGGATTTAAGTTGCAATTAGCTCAGCTTTTAGAATGAAATTCATTTCGTGCCTCTACCATCCATATCGTTTCAGACAATCAAAATAATCCAGCCAAGCTAATCCATTTACTTGATTAATCCAATCCGACATATTTGACTAAATACAAATACTCTAATTAGACAGCTACTGATCATTGTCTGTTGATTTACAAACGAGACAGCTCAAGACGGTCATCTCAGACTTTGACACCGGTGAGAGCGCATGATACTTGCCTAATTACAGGTTTAGTCTTCTGATTGGCCGGTAATATATTTATATTCAGACGCCCACGATGTACCAACAGAAAACGAGTTGCACGTTTGAAACGATACATTTGCATAAACATGAAGGGATGGAACAAACATATGAAGAATCTTGATGAGAAGGTCGTGTACAGTGCCATCATGGGAGATGAGATGGTCGGAAAGACCAGCATCTCCGAGAGCTATGCTGAGAAGTCTTTCAATGAGAATTATGAAGCCACAGTGTTTGACAACTATGTCGTTCCCCTGCAAGTAGCCGGAAAGGAGTTTGTCATCAGCATGTTCGACACTGCAGGAAAGGTATGTTTATTTAGATGTTACATTCAGTAATACTACTTTGTGAATTTCGTGTTAACACTGAGAGTAGAACCAGTTGCAATATTGACGAAAATTGTTTATAAGATGTGTATGGATAAGCGTGGATTATGTTTAGCTTCAGAAAAGTATCGCATCAAACATTACGTTCTGAATTTAATTGAAGTGTTTCTATCACTATTTAGGTGGCATATATGCGTTTTTGTTGGTTCTATTTACTATACATCGTGTACTGATCTATCCTTCTTACGTTTACAGAAACGTTTTGAGAGCCTAAGGATGTTCTCCTACCAGGAAAGTGAAGTCCTGCTTTTGTGTTTTTCTACCTGTGACCGGAAGACATTTCACACCGTCAATGACCTATGGATGCCTGAACTAAAGAGACACTCCAAACAACACAAACAGAAGAGACCTGTCATCCTCGTGGGCACGAAGATAGACCTCCGAGTCGGAAATGAAGGAATTGGGGTCAGCACGGACGAGGGTGTCCAGTTGGCCAAGGACATCGGTGCTGACTGCTATGTGGAGTGCTCGGCTAACGACCACAAGGGCTTGAAGGAGGTCTTTCAGCATGTTGTCTTCTCTGCTCTCAAATTCAGAAATAAGAGAACCAACATTATCCAGAAGATGTTCAGACGCAGAAGTGCCTCTTTTGTAAATTACTAGATTCAACAGGCTTTCATGTGATGATGGAAAATTACAAACCGCAAACATTATGAGATATCTGAATATTGTTGCAATATGATTGTCAAATTACATCAACGATGAAGGGAGGGAGATGTTCCACTTTACTTATACATGACATTTATACAAAGGCTTTTCATACATACATTTTATTGAATGACCGATTAGTGCTATTTACAACTACGTCCTATGTCTGTTATTAGTGACAATCGTTCTTTCATATATGTTACTGTTTACTGTTGTTCGTATTTGCCTTCAATAAACTTTGTATGTGATATATGTCCATCAGAGTCTTGTCTATATGTCTCCTCAATACGATACGTGTTTTGAGCTAAGTCAGCTCTCAATAAACACGAGGAAACGTTTTCCATAATCATAACAAATATCTGCTAAAAGCAGAGTCCATTGTACAGAGTGTATCAAAAGTATGTGTTTATGAATCATTATCAAAAGTGATGGTACGAAAAGGCAAGCGTATCATGCCCCAACCGGAGATACTCGTCAAATACACAGTTGAAAGAGCATGCTCGAGTATACCCCGAAGGACGTGGAATGTAGACAACAAAGGCTGCAGCTGCTGGAATATTGCTCGACATATGTGGAAAGTTGACTCTTGCAAAGCCATCCCTCTTGTCGTATGGTCTTGTGGGTTGATGTTTTTTCACTCTGAATCTTTATGCATAAATCTCTATTTTTAGTTCAGGTGGGTAAATAAGAGGAAGGGAACTAGCTATTAGATCACAATATATATTGTGATGTCTTGCTATTCAAACTATTTTGAATTAATATCTTCAAACAACATACGTTTCACCAACAGTAAAGCAAATGTGTTACACAACAAGAAGAGCAATACCTCTTTTCTGTTTGAAACAACACAAAGGTGAATCCTATGGTCAGACAGCCCATTTATAAAAGTTTTATTGGCCAACTGTATAGTGACCTGAAAACCACTATGTCGCACTCACTGTTCCTGCCGAACAGCTTACAACCATACTAACTCACTCACAGAGCTATATTTACTGGTATTGTCTCACTTTGATAGACATTTCTCGTCTTCCATTGTTACCAACTTTTGAAAGTCCATCAACGACTTCAATGAACATGTCTCGTCTACCTAAACGGAAAGGAGATGGTAATAATAATGACAATATTCTGTTACACCGCAGAAAACAACCAGTGTATTGCAACGACAACGAGGCTATTTGACGGAATGTGATTGGCTTCTGTCCATTGCCGCCTTATCCTATCATTGTAAAACAACAACGAATCCATTCACTTCTATTTATCCAATCAGACGTGTTTCCTTAGCCACTCTGAATCAGACAGCTACAAAATCAACAACGCTAATTCTAAGTGTTTATTTGCATACATTTCCTCTAGTCAGCAAGACACAACTAATACGTAAACATATACCAGGATTAAATTAGACATAGCTGCTTTAAAGATAAGTGTACAAATACATGAAGAGACACAATATCAGCAACCATTTACCTTAACCTACATAGGGGGCACGGGTGGCCCAGTCGTCTAAGGCGCCGCGATTCGCTGTGCAGAGTTGCGTCCCATGGATACGCCAGAAACCTATAATTATGGGTTCGAATCCCTGTTCGCCCCGATTATGTTTCTAGGTTTGTCAGCACCATACCCGTGCTCGTGGGTTTCACCGAAGTGGTTAACGTCTGAGACCTGCATCATATCGGGCTTTCTTCACACATTAAGTTAAAACGCCGCGATATAACTGGAATACTGTTAAAAGCGGCGTTACACCCAACTCACTCACTTAACCTACATATGTCTGGAAAGAAAGCCTCTAAAACTTTTAATCCGTGACTATGTAATGTTTTCGAAAATACATAATTGCTGGGGTAAATAATATAACAAATAGATGGTGTGTAGAGGTAGAGTCAGACAATAATTTCAATAATTCGAACTCAAACAAACTTCATTTCACTTGAGGTCATGTCATGGGAAGCGAAGGCATAAGAATAAATTAATATAAGAAATCTTTGCAAACTCGATGGTAGAACACTGTGCATAAACGCATGTAGTACATAATAATTTTTTACTCATCATTCACGAGTACATTCTTACCAAATCATACAGGAGATAAAACAATTAAGTTAGATTTACATCAGCAAGTGTTGATAATAATTAATAGTTTTCATGAGGCACTTGCCGATATAACTAAATTACTTTCAACTTTACAACTTTCTTATTATTTAAAACATCCTACATATATACTAAAACTAATACACAGAGCAAACATAATGCCAAATATGGTACATGCGATAGCGACAAATTCGCTGAAGAGCTGGCAAATAAGGTGCGGGAAATGCTATTTACTTTGTTCCAGATTTTGTTCGTTCCAGACCAATAAAATTAATGCTTTACGTTTGAGTAGACAATATAATTGGATCTTTTTTAAATAAATAAGTGTGAGCATACATTCGATTCCATCTTTAAATCTCTGTGAAATTACTTTGTAGAAAAAGAAGCTTACCAACACGTTTCTTTCAAATAAATTACAGGACTTGAATTGCAATTAGCTTACTGTTACTTCTATTTTGACATTTTTAATTTTTGGTATATTATTTTTTTATTCAAAGAAATTCATTCAGTTCAGCTTGGTATTTTAAATATTTATCTTTGGTTCGTTTTACAACATTTTTGGTATTTTTGTTTTTTCCTGGTTAAAAAATGTCACAATGCTCAGGGTATCTTCCTGATTTTAAATTTACTTCCTGTCACTCAATACCGCATGTTCTCTCAAGACAGATATGGTGAAAGGGTACAAAAGGAAATCAAAGAAGATTTAAAAGGAATCGCAAAGAATGTATAATAAGGGTGGAAAGTCCAAAGTATTTGTAAGTTTTAATTTTGTCATTTATTTATTTCAAAATTTAATATTTTATCATAAAATGTCAGCATTTATAAAATGTAAACAAAGTATGTTTGTTTGTTTAAAGGTACAAGGTATAATATTTTGGTATAAATTTAAGTCTAATTTAAAGGTGCATTCTCACTATTACATTGATAATTTAAAGGTAAATTTATTGTTTGTTAATTTGAATTATTTTTTATTGTTTTGTTTGTTTGTTTACATTTTTACTTATCAGTATTATTGTTTATTTATTTTAGCTTGTACCGGCTTAACTGTGCACAGAAATAAATTATTTATCCCCCACACGTACTTCTAAGATTATAACTGATTTCGTTTCAGACAATCTAAATTACTAGTATTTCTACAAAGCTGATCAATTCATTTGATTAATCCAATCTGACGTATTTGACTAACCACTCAGAATTAGACGACGAAAAACACAAGAAAACATATTGGCAGTAGTGCCAGGTATGAGTAGTCATGCGTTTAGCACCAAACAAATACTCTAATTAGACAGCTACTGATCATTGTCTGTTGATTTACAAACGAGACAGCTCAAGACGGTCATCTCAGACTTTGACACCGGTGAGAGCGCATGATACTTGCCTAATTACAGGTTTAGTCTTCTGATTGGCCGGTAATATATTTATATTCAGACGCCCACAATGTACCAACAGAAAACGAGTTGCACGTTTCAAACGATACATTTGCATAAACATGAAGGGATGGAACAAACATATGAAGAACCTTGACGAGATGGTCGTGTACAGTGCCATCATGGGAGATGAGATGGTCGGAAAGACCAGCATCTCCGAGAGCTATGCTGAGAAGTCTTTCAATGAGAATTATGAAGCCACAGTGTTTGACAACTATGTCGTTCCCCTGCAAGTAGCCGGAAAAGAGTTTGTCATCAGCATGTTCGACACTGTAGGAAAGGTATGTTTATTTAGATGTTACATTCAGTAATACTACTTGTGTATTTCGTGTTAACACTGAGAATAGAACCAGTTGCAATATTGACGAAAATTGTTTATAAGATGTGTATGGATAAGCGTGGATTATGTTTAGCTTCAGAAAAGTATCGCATCAAACATTACGTTCTGAATTTAATTGAAGTGTTTCTATCACTATTTAGGTGGCATATATGCGTTTTTGTTGGTTCTATTTACTATACATCGTGTACTGATCTATCCTTCTTACGTTTACAGAAACATTTTGAGAGCCTAAGGATGTTCTCCTACCAGGAAAGTGAAGTCCTGCTTTTGTGTTTTTCTACCTGTGACCGGAAGACATTTCACACCGTCAATGACCTATGGATGCCTGAACTAAAGAGACACTCCAAACAACACAAACAGAAGAGACCTGTCATCCTCGTGGGCACGAAGATAGACCTCCGAGTCGGAAATGAAGGAATTGGAGTCAGGACGGACGAGGGTGTCCAGTTGGCCAAGGACTTCGGCGCGGACTGATATGTGGAGTGCTCAGCTCGCGACCACAAGGGCTTGAAGGAGGTCTTTCAGCATGTTGTCTTCTCTGCTCTCAAATTCAGAAATAAGAGAACCAACATTATCCAGACATTCAGACGCAGAAGTGCCTCTTTTGTACTAGATTCAACAGGCTTTCATGCGATGATGAAAAATTACAAACCGCAAGCATTATGAGATATCTGAATATTGTTGCAATATGAATGTCAAATGAAAATTACATCAACAATGAAGGGAGGAAGATGTTCCACTTTACTTATACATGCCATTTATACAAAGGCTTTTCATACATACATTTTATTGAATGACCGATTAGTGCTATTTACAACCACGTCCTATGTCTGTTATTAGTGACAATCGTTCTTTCATATATGTTACTGTTTACTGTTATTCGTATTTGCCTTCAATAAACTATGTATGTGATATATGTCCATCAGAGTCTTGTCTATATGTCTCCTCAATACGATACGTGTTTTGAGCTAAGTCAGCTCTCAATAAACACGAGGAAACGTTTTCCATAATCATAACAAATATCTGCTAAAAGCAGAGTCCATTGTACAGAGTGTATCAAAAGTATGTGTTTATGAATCATTATCAAAAGTAATGATACGAAAAGG